TAAACTTTAACCTAAAGTGGATTATAACTCATTTGAAAGCCTGGTTTTCAGTCTTTCGCAACCGACCTGGAAAACAATCCAGCCGGTTCTCTTTGTAATAGTGTACAGGGCCCCAGGTCCTTATTCAGAATTTCTTTCTGAATTTTCACAGTTCTTAACGAGGTTGGTCCTTAAAACGGACAAGGTAATTATTGTGGGTGACTTTAACATTCATGTGGATGTCGACAACGACAGCCTTAGTACTGCATTCCTTTCATTGTTAGATTCAATCGGTTTCTGTCAGTGTGTAAATAAACCAACTCACTGTTTTAACCACACTCTCGACTTGGTGCTTGTGTATGGGATTGGGATTGAACATTTAACAATTTTTCCACAGAACCCTCTCCTTCGAAGCCAGCTGTCACGTGATACAGTTTTTATGGATGGAATTGCTCTGGTACCCAGCAGCACCATCAGGAATCTGGGAGTTCTCTTCGACTAGGATATGACCTTCAACTCGCATATAAAGAAGACTTCAAGGACTGCCTATTTTCATCTACGTAACATATCAAAAATCAGGAACTTCCTGTCTCAAAGTGATGCAGAAAAATGAGTTCATGCGTTTGTCACTTCCAGACTGGACTACTGTAATTCTATGTTATCGGGCTGCTCTTGTAAATCTCTTAAGCCTCTCCAGTTGATTCAGAATGCTGCAGCACGTGTATTAACAAGAACTGAGAAAAGGGATCATATCACTCCTGTATTAACTTCTCTGCACTGGCTCCCTGTCAAATCATGAATAGATTTTAAGGTACTTCTCCTCACCTACAAGGCACTTGCTGGTGAGGCACCGTTGTATCTTCAAGAGCTTGGTTGTTGTGTGGGATCATGTGGCATTCCACCACTCTGTTTCTGTCACAGGCGTTTTGCAGCACCCCAAGGGATGTCAGTATTATTCCTGCCTCCATACTCCCCTTCTTAAACCCCATAGTGGAATTTTTCTCTGCATAGAGGTGGAAGGTTTATGACCACCATCCACATGACCAGATAACTTCACTGGAGGCAATGAATGCGGGGTGTGGAGAAGAAAAAATATTTTATTCTATAATAAAATACTGTTTATGTAAAACTTAAATAAAATAAAAGTTCATAATTAATGTAATGCCCCCTGTTTTTTAGGTCAGTGTGTTATGAGTGACATTTTCTGAGAATTTGTTTCCAGTGATTAGTGGAACGAGCGCATCTGGAGTGTATTGTTGGTCTGAGTGAGTTTTGGAAGTTAGATGAACTGTTTAGCCAAAATTATACTTAATACTCTCTAGTAGGGAAATATGGTATTATAAGCTCCTTAAGATAAGGCAAGTGCCTTGTAAGTGAGGAGAAGTACCTTACATTTTTGGGGAGCCGGTGCAGAGAAACTAATAACGGAGCATTATGATCCCTTTCCTTAGTTCCATAAGAAATGGATTAGAGACTTGCTCCATATGTGTGATCTTATCAGGCCAAAGTTTAAAACATTAAGCTGACTGATGTATTTCCACGCCCAGATACAGGCTGGAAGGTATTTAACATGTTGTTAAAACTGCAGTAATTCTTAAAATGTCATCACTTCTCTCACAGGGTTGATCAGTAGCTCTGTACTTACCTGAGCCATGAAGACCCAGAATGGCGAGGGTGTTACACCCCCTTCACATCCCTGCCGACAGACGTCTACTTTTACCTTAAGAGGAAGAAAGAAGGACGGTTTGATTCGAGGCAGACTTCGCATCCGCTCCATACCTGGAGCCTTCTTGGTGCTGGGGGTCATCGTGGTGGTTGTTGGCACTGCTCTGGCTGTGGCAGGATACTGGCCCTACTGGTTACAGAGAACTTCCATCCTGGGGCCAACAGATGGGAAAAATGTCTCTGAGTCACAGACATCTGGATCGAGTCTTGAAGGTAAGCCAGCTCACACAGCCAGTCCCATCCACAGTGAGCGGATAAAGCTGCTGGGTCCTGTCATCATGGGGGTTGGACTCTTCATCCTAATATGTGCCACCACAATCCTGTATGAGAACAGGGACAGAGAGACTCAGATGCTGCTGGCTCAGATGCGCAGTGTAATCTGCTCTGTGTCCGCAACGGTTCACTTGGCAGAACTTAAAGAAAGAGCTGCAGCCAACTCCATGGCTAGACCCTACCACTGGGTGAGCAGTTTACCAGCTGCCCATCTCAACATCCTGCTGCAGCTGGCCAGCTCTGAGCCGCTGCTTCTCACCAGACACCCCAGAGACCAAGAGCGCATTGTGGAGGGCATCTACCAGCAAGCAGTTCTTCAGACAGAAGTCCTCCACGACCACGAGTCAGAGCCTCCGCTCTCCCTCCACTCATGCTACTCCAACTCATGTAATTCTAGTCAGACAGACTTTTACACACAGTTTGGGGCTGAGCACGGGGGCAGTGCCAGCTTCAATTTGCTGCCCCCCCCACTTGTCAAGCTCAACAGTTGCCTGGTGTCCGCCACCTCTTTATCCACGCTGGACAAGATAGATATGCCAGCCATCCAGCCGAGGCGCTGCCACAGTATGAGCTACAGGACTGACTCGTATAGAGCTGGAACTGGTATGCCGGACGGTCACCATAAAACGGAGGAGGAGGGCAAAATGAATCAAGTGGTACTTACTGGAGAGACTGGTTCACAGGTTTGTGTGAACAAGGTTATGGAGGCTGCAGAAAAGCAAACCTGCCAAAGCTGGCCTCGGCTGGACCTGATCACTGGGAGACATATGTAAAACTAGAGAACAAAGAACACTCAGTGGATAAACTGCTGGACCAGTTAGAGCAGCAGTGTTATCAGTGGGATAAGAGTCTTGGCTCAGGGCCTTTCCAGTGATTGGCTGCTCTCCACAGAAGGAGATAGTCACCCTGATAACAAAGGATCATAATCATATGTTCCCTTGAATTCCATAACTGCACTATATTGTTTTGTCCGTTGGGGGGCAGAGAGAGAGACCAAACCCTGGATTATCTGGATTACAGTATTTCTGACAAGGATGTTCCAAAATGTGAGCTTATTCACATTGTTAAATGTAATATCTAATATACACAGGGTATGGTTATGCTTGGCTGCAGAATAGATTCAGACGATTTTTTTATATGACTAAAGCAACAATATACAGACACTTCTGCTGTTTGGGTTGGTTGCATTGCGAGAAATCAAATGTCTCAATGCCAAAATTGGTTTCCCTGTTTCCAAGTCGTGTGTGGACAACATGGTGTAGCATTGATAGAAGGGTGATGGTTTTCACTGTGCTATCAATTTTGAACCAAACTATCTGGACTACCTGAGTTCATAAAAAGCTAACAGCTCTTCACAAATGAAACTAGGATATAAAATCTGATTTCTTTTGCAATGCAATGCCTGGCAGTGATGTATTACATGTCACTTATCTTATCTTATTACATACTTGGAAACATGTTGCTTTTCGGCTGTTTTGAAATCAAAATATGTCATCGACATTAATCACGTTAAATACAAAGAGGTTTTTTTTGGAGGGGGGGGGTTGGGGAACTTTTCTGAGATTAGAGTGAGACAAGGAGAAAATGTGATTTTGTGATCTTTGCAATAAAACATCTTTGATGTGACGTGTCGAGTCTTGGCACTGGATTCATATTATCATTACCGTACGTGTTTGGGCCCAATCTGTGATCTTTATCAGATCAGATAGACTTTTGGGCAGAACCCTCAAAAGGCCGTAGTTTAAAAGCTTTGAGGGTTCATCACACAACATGGAGGCCATGGTTTGTCTCAATGTGATGTTTGTTTGAAGAAGACCACACTGCACCATCCTAATATGTATGATACATTGTTGTGCATCGGCTCACCTTTTGGATAATACTAAACTTTCTAAACCCCCCCCCCCCCCCCTTTTCTTTTTCACCCCTTGTTTGCAGGTATGCTATTAATACTCATGCAGAGAATGGTCTTGTGGGTTTTGTGTGTGTATAAGAACCAATGACAATTCATTCTGGATTATTATAGTTTGGGTCTTACATTCTTATTTCTCTTGTATCAGCTACAATAATGCTTTTCACCCGGACCTCCTCCGTAAAAGGTGTGGAACCAACAATAAATAGTGTGGATGTGTGCAACGCATAGTAACCAGTATAATAGCCACTTGTTTTCACTACCACCACATCCATCGATGAGCATCTCCAGCCCACTGGACTTCTCACAGATGTGATAACCCTTCATCCAGTGTTAAAAACATTACCATATTTTAATAATGATAACACCTGGACCACCAGTGATGTGTGAGTCAGTGAAACAGCTGAGTCCTCCAAGTAATGGGGGTCGGTCATAAGCATTTCTAGGCTGTTTAATCCTTGACATAAAAAAAAGGAGTTCTTTTGGTTATTAGTGAATAACTATTAGTGAAGTGAACTTTTTCTGTGCTGTCTTTAAAGATGGTGCATGATCCTGAGTTAGTGCATATTTATATATAATACATAGTAGTAATAAGAAATAATTTTAAAATGTTTTAATGCTAAACCAAAAGGAAAATGCTGGAGAGGAAAATATTGTCTTTTACATAACAAGCTGCATTTTAATTCAAACCAACCGCAATGCTCACAAATACAAACAGTTAATATGTGTAAGTGTAAGTTCATTAACTGAATTCTATATTCAGAAGGCTATTACATTTTATTATCCGAAAAGCCCAGCGGCACCCCCCCATACCAGGATGGTTTGACCCAACTTTGCTTACGCCACCTGTCAAACCCTTTACGAAAAGAAAAACAGCAGCAGCGACAAATGTACTTTTTCTGGTGTAATTTGAGACATTTTGTGACTGACGTGATGCACGTGGCATTCTCACTCTTCTCACCGAGCCGCCACCCCCCCCCGCCTTTCCTCCCCCCAAAGCACACCCAAGTGGTTCAGGTTCAGTTCAGGGTTGATCAAATATAAATATTTAGGTTCAAATAACTTTGGGTTTCATGCATTTTCATGCTGTCCTTTGTCTCAGCCCCGCTTTGCCCCCATCTTCCTCCCTACACATTCTGATTAAACAGATCTGTGAGGCGCCAATAACAAATTTCTTATTTAGGAGACCAAGCTGACATAACCGGCCACATTTGCTGACTGGAAATTGCAATGTTATTATCACCCATCAGAATAAAGGCCGAAGACCCATGTCCTAAAAAGCCTGATCCGTAACAAAAGTAGTTTCTTTTTATTGTCCTTCTTGTTGCCACAGTAGTAGCTTGTAGTGAAAGCAGGGATCCTCCTGCATCCCCCCCTTCCCTCGTCCTTTCCCTCCCCCAGCCTTTTGTGATAGATAAAAAAACTGATAGTATGTCATTGCAGATGTGCAAAAGTGACCCCTCCACCTGTGAAAGTCATACTCTAGTATTGTCTGTCTGTGGTGCCTGTTCCGTATGCCATGTGTGACTCTCTGTGTTCTAAATGTATACCAAACAATATGAGCAGTCTGACCAAACAATCATGGGTGTCTCTTGTCAACCACAGAATTTCACTTTGTTGAATAATGGCGGCAGTCGCGTTCATCGACAGACCCCGGGTCGCCCACTGACTGACTCCGACATGCCTTTTTCCAACGGTCACTCCCCTGCACATCCCTTCACACTCCATATGTACATACACTCACAGTACAGTTGTGTAGAGTATGATTAACTGTTCGCCTCAACACCTTCGTTTTATTTTCCTTCTGTCTTTTATATTCCTGTAGTTTATATTCTTTTACTTTATACTGTAGATTTAAATAGTAATTTTGTAAATTGAACAAAATGAAATTGAATGTCATTCTCCTGCACTGTGTTATTGTTGTCCACTGTCTTATTGTCCAATGTCATGCACCAACCGCCATGTCAAATTCCTTGTATGTCTAACGTAATTTGGCAATAAATGTTCCTGATTTCTGATTGTTGGAAAACCACTGTCTACACCCAGGAGCTGGTTAGCCATCTACCTGTTGATTTGTTTTATGAGCTGCTAGTGGGCAAAGCTCTAGGTATATGTTTCATCAAAATGTAAATTCTGAAATAGCTTTAACTTTTTAGGGCCCGACGACCCACCACTGGTACAACTACATTATAGTGTTGTAGTGCCATTTCTTCGGTGACATTATCAAGTCGCAATTAAGCTGCAGACACAGGAATTTAATTTCCTTAATGTGAATGACAGCATTCAAATCTTTTATTTCACGCAGCAAAAGCATTAACTAAATATAAAAAAACACATTAGCATCCAGCGCCACTCTCAAAGAGCCTGTAGCAGTATCGACAAAATGATCGATCTGGGACGGACTGAGGTTCTCACAGGAGTCTTCTTGTATCTTGAGGCAGGGCACTGAACTTAGAGCAGAAGGAATGGCTTCTTTGAATGAGGCTACAGCGGTATCCGATAAGCGTCGGCTGTAGAAACCTTTGGCAGGAGGAGGTGGTTCTGATAGTAGAAATTCAAAGGTTATCAGACAATGGTCCGACAGGAGAGGGTTCTGTGGAAAAATTGTTAAATGTTCAATCCCAATCCCATACACAAGAACCAAGTCGAGAGTGTGGTTAAAACAGTGAGTTGGTTTATTTACACACTGACAGAAACCGATTGAATCTAACAATGAAAGGAATGCAGTACTAAGGCTGTCGTTGTCGACATCCACATGAATGTTAAAGTCACCCACAATAATTACCTTGTCCTTTTTAAGGACCAAACTCGTTAAGAACTGTGAAAGAAGAAAAAGACCCCCTTTAATTCTCCTATTTTGTTGCATTATTAGTTTTAACTTTAATTAAGTTATTTACTACAACTCCTCGGTTCTTTGCCTTTAACTTAGATAACTGTGTCCGTGGGGCAGACAAGGTCTCTATAGGGTTCATTATGCTGAGTGACTGCTCAGATGGAAGCGCAGAGAAGTGTGTAAGACAGACAGAGATGTTTGTGTTAGGTAATGGACAGAAGTGACAACGGTTCTGCAAGGAGATGGGAGGCTCAAATGCAGGTGGACACTGGGGGGGATTTATGGCCTCATCCGGACGGTATTATTCAGTTCAACCGGAGAAGAGTTGTTTTGGGGTTATTGGTTTGTTCATGCTTTTTGCTGGACGGTGATAGAGCTGTAGATTAAGATCTCCGGGCCGTTTTTTTATCAACACATATCTCAGTTTTTTTTGTTCAACATTTTATTATCCTTTTTCTCTGTAACTCGTTATAATCTGATCTATGTTCTGAAGTAAATAAAACCGAGTTCGCTCTGAGCCTCCGAAGTTTTTTGAAAAGTTTCTTCATTGAGGCCGAGCGGCGGACTCCGGTGAGCCCCTGGGTCAGCCTGAGGTTAATCCACTACGGACACTTGCACCCACTCACTCCACACCTCATCACACACGGGGAGGGACAGAGACGTCTTCAGGAGCTCCAGGCTGGGAAGGTTCCATGTAGCTTGGAGATGTACAGTGGTCCGCTTGTAGCAGAGTCTAAAATGATTTCTCGGTATTTCTGAGCCCGAGATAAGATCAATTTTGTTGAGAGATTAAAAACATTCCGGTGGTATTTGCTCTGTGACAGTTGAGATTAGTGACGATTGAAAATTCCTGGAGAGAGTTCTCTATGTTGCCTATAGAGGTTGAGAAAAATAAGCTAGGCTGACTTTTAACTGGACTGACGACCCGTGTGCCAAAAGGTCAATGCAAAAAGTAAATAAAATATGTAGGATCACCATCATTATTCAGTCAAGGCAGAGAACGGGAGCTAATCACACCACTTCTGCTCCATCAAGAAATAATAAATTGTGAACTACACATGCTGTATGACAACGTGGGTGGCTTATAGGTTATAGGTCTTTCACTTTTAGGCCACACCGCCTTCAAATTCAGTGGTCCATAACTTTGAAACCCAATGAGATATTAACAATATTTTAATAGCATTGACCCAATAATGATTTCCTGAGAATTTCCTGAGAATCACAAAGTTCAACTCACAAAGGAGTTTGCAAAAACGTGTTTATAACAACATTCAAAATGGCGGAAAATCTAGTTAGGCACATTTGCATTCCATGATTGACTTTTTTGTAGAGCATATCCAAGAGCACCTGTGTGTTGGTGTCAATTCAATCGGTGAAACTGGGTAATAATTTCCCCAGAGGGAGCACTTCCAGGGGGCGCTAGAGACATTTTTTTCTACCTAATGTGCAACCAAGAATATCCAAATTTCTGATGCACACGCCAAAATTCAGTTTTTTGACTATGATAAAGGCCTCAAAAGTGCGATTGAAGTTTTGAAATAATAAGGAAGAATTCTTCGCCCGACATTCAGTCTGCTCAGGCCCTAAAAAAGCAAAAGTTTAAAAAATAGCCAAAAGAAGAATAAAAAACCTTGTTCTCCGGTTGAAAATCCCCACATAAATCCCAGTGTCCACCTGCACGTAGGCATCACCTCCTCGCAGAACTGCTGTCACTTTTGTCCATAACACAAACATTTCAATATATATTGTGCATTTTACAGTTTTAGATGACATGCACATGCAAAAATAAGACCACTTGCAGGTGTGTCAACAAGGATGACTTTATATGTCTTAGAATACCTAGGTCAAGCCCAGGTAAAACTACAGAGCATCTCTTATGTGTACTCCATAATACGGCTGATTGTATTATCAAAAGGTTTTTGGTCTTACTTGTAAGGTTAAAACATAGGCACTGCGGTTATGTGTCCCCTTTTCCTATCCTAAACCCTTTATCAATTTTTCATATCATTCGATCCTCTCAACACTGGACATACCTTGTGTCTTCAAGACCACACACTTCCAGTTCTGAGACCATGTGATGACTGTCAAGTAGTCGCTGTTAGCCAGGTACATCTTGAGCCATGGTGCTCAATAAATGTTTTTCTTCTAATATTCAGTCTCTTTCGTAGCTCGTCTGTACAGAACGTGTTTGTACTTCCAGGATCTATAAAAGCATACGTCTCTATACACCTTCCACCTTTATCGGATCTCACTTTTACAGGCACAATTGATAGCATATACTCTGGGTTCTCTGTCCCAGCAAAGCAAACTATTTCGTGTTTAACCGACTTCTGAGCTCCTGAGACCTCTTCATTTGAAGTGCCGTCCTCTCTCTCCGGTGTAGGCAAGATATTATTAGTAGCTTCCTTCACCCAATCCAGTTCATAGAGTGGAAGGCCTCATTCATATCACTCAGAGACAGAAACAACATCTTGTTTGCTCAGAAACTGCACTATTTAAAGTATGTAGGAGGTCCAGCCCGAAAGACACTTGATGGCACACTGTACAAAAATGATGACGAGGCCTACAAAGATGCATGGAACCATCTCAACCACAGGTATGGTCAGCCGTTTGTTGTACAGAGAGCCTTCAGAGAAAAACTGGCAAGCTGGACAAAGATCCAGAATAAGGATTCAATTCAATTCATTTTATTTTGTATAGCCCAAGATCGCAAATTACAAATTTGCCTCAGAGGGCTTTACAGTCTGTACACATACAACATCCTCTGTCCCGAAACCCACCATCGGCACAGAAAAAACTCCCCAAAAAATGAAAAAACCCTTCCAAGAGGGAAAAAAGGGAAGAAACCATAGGGAGAACGTCAGAAGAGGGATCCCACTCCCGGGATGGACAGACTACAATGGATGCCATGTGTACAGAATGAACAATGTATAATACATGCAATTCCTATGACAGAAATTATTCAAGTAATTGTGAGTAGTAAGCCAGACGCACAGCAGGACCACTGCAGGGGCAACCATCATCAGATAGAACCACCATCAGATAGAACCACCATCACATAGAACCACCATCAGATAGAACCACCGGCACATAGAACCACCATCAGATAGAACCACCATCACATAGAACCACCATCCACAGAATCCTGTGGGGAGGGAGAGCACAGAGACTTTAGGAGAGGGTAATGTTGGTTTACGAGTACAGAAATATGATTAATATCTAAAATAATAATGATGATGATGATGATGGAAGCAGCAGGCGTCAGCAGGGCCACGGCAGGTGTCAGGACCAGGGTCCAGAAGGAACCATGATCTACGGAGACCTGCTAGGGGAGAAAGCACAAAAAAACTCCTGGAAAGAAGCAGAATTAGTCATGTGCATTAATAAGACGTGAATTATGGTAGAACGAGAGCGTGAGAGAGGAGCTCGGCGTGTCCTAAGAATTCCCCCGGCATTCTAAGCCTATAGCAGCTTAACTAAGGGCTGGTCCGGAATAACCTGAGCCAGCCCTAACTATAGGCAGAATCAAAGGAAAGTTTTAAGTTTTACTTTAAAAGAGCTGACCGAATCTGCCCCCCGGACTGAAAGTGGAAGCTGGTTCCACAAAAGAGGAGCTTGATAACTGAAGGCTCTGGCCCCCAGCCTACTTTTTAAAACCATAGGAACAACAAGTTACCCAGCATCTATGGAGCGCAGCTGCCTTGTAGGGCAATAAGGTGTTACAAGCTCTTTAAGATACGACGGTGCCTCACCAGCAAGTGCCTTGTAGGTGAGGAGAAGTACCTTAAAATCTATTCTTGATTTAACAGGGAGCCAGTGCAGAGAAGTTAATACAGGAGTGATATGATCCCTTTTCTTAGTTCTTGTTAATACACGTGCTGCAGCATTCTGAATCAACTGGAGATGCTTAAGAGATTTACAAGAGCAGCCTGATAACAAAGAATTACAATAGTCCAGTCTGGAAGTGACAAACGCGTGAACTAATTTTTCTCCGTCACTTTGAGACAGGAGGTTCCTGATTTTTGATATGTTACGTAGATGAAAATAGGCAGTCCTTGAAGTCTTCTTTATATGCGAGTTGAAGGTCATATCCTGGTCGAAGAGAACTCCCAGATTCCTGACGGTGCTGCTGGGTACCAGAGCAATTCCATCCATAAAAACTGTATCACGTGACAGCTGGCTTCA